CTTGAACTTCACTTTGTGTATGTGCAACCAAAGCGCAGTCATCCGCAAAGAGCAGGTCGCGGACTATTGTGGTTTGTGTTTTTGACTTTGCTTGTAGGCGTCTGATGTTGAAAACGTCTCCATCCATGCGATAGCAGATTGGAATGCCCTCTACACAATGTTGAAAGGCGACTCGAAGCATTAGGGAGAAGTAAATGTTGAACAGCAAGGGAGCCATGACACACCCCTGCTTGGTACCATTCGTCACCTCAAAGTCCGGGGATCGATCACCATTTTCAACTACGGTTGCCCTCATGTCTTCATGGAAGGAGCGAATAATCGACACTAAAATCGGAGGACAACCGATCTTTTTGAGACATTTCCATAACGCTGAACGGTTGACGGAATCGAACGTCTTTGTTAAATCTATGAAGACGAAGAAAGGTTCGCGTTGTTGCTCACGACATTTTTCTTGAAGTTGTCTGGCAGTAAAAATCATGTTCATAGTACCACGACCAGCCCGAAAGCCACACTGACCCTCTGGAAGGATACCAACGTCATTGACGTACTTGGTTCGGCGGTTGACGATCACGCGGGCCAATATTTTTCCAGGAATCGATAGCAGAGAAATGCCTCTGTGATCATTACAGCATGAACGATTCTCTTTCCGTTTGAATATCTTTGAATGATAAGGGCATCATTAAAATCTTGAGGAACCGATTTCCTATCCCACATGTCTTGGAACATTGTCACCATCCTGGTTTTAAGTTCGATGACACCACATTTGAAGAGTTCTGCCGGCAGCCCGTCCAAACCCGGAGCTTTTCCATTCGACATTTGGGTGATTGCTTTTTCCACTTCAGACAAGCTATGGGGATCATCGAGATCACCTGCAATGCTCCAGTCAGGCAACTCAGCAAGGACTGAGTCATCAAACCGGGATTCTTGGTTTAGCACACTGTTGAAGTGTTCAGCCCAACGAGCCAAGATTTCATGGCCTCCTCTGTGCAAAACTGCGTGCTTGCGTGTAGCATGCTTTCTTGACGCAGTTGCCCCTGTCATCTATCCAAGAAAGATGAGTGCTGTGCATGTTGTCCAGCAGCCCACGTGCCTCCGTATCCTGATTGTCGAACCAGTCCCTATGCTTAATACGCTGATATCTAAGCACATTAACCGCAGCTTTCTCCACAATCTGCTTGAAATCTGACCATTCTGTGCTCTCATTTGTTGAAAACTCACCACACAATGCTTCGCGGAACAAATTTCTAGCTGACGGTTCTGTTAGCCGAGTCACATCCAGTTTGGCTTTCCTTACAGTTTTGTGATGCCTTCTGACTGGTTTAACAGTAAGAAACACCGACATCTTGATGAGGCGATGATCTGACCACATTGTTGATGCTCGCACCGCTTTAGTTAGACGAGCGAGACGAAGATCGCGTTGTCTGATAAGTATGTAGTCGATGAGATGCCAGTGTCCTGAACGTGGATGTTTCCAGCTAGTCTTCTTCCTGTCAGCCTGTTGGAAGACTATTTGTCACCACAAGATTGTGCTTTGTACAAAATTTGAGTAGCATGGTCACATTTGAATTTTCCCTACCAACTCCATTTCGTCCAAGCACTTTTGGCCACAAGATGTGGTCTTTGCCCACACGGGCGTTAAAATTACCCAAGACAAACAATTGATGGTTGTGTGGTGTTGAACGAACAGCGTCA